CTAGGGGCAGCCTGGGTTTCTTACCCCCCCAGATGAAGGAGTTGCATATGGCTTGTAACGATTTATGGATTGCGGCTTGGATGTCTATCGTGAGCATGCAGAATATATACAGTAACCTTGGCAATAGCATCATCTTATATGCATTCACTCGGCCTAACCAGGACAGTTTTGCATTCTTCCATTTATGTATTTCTGTGGTGCATAGATGTATGAGGGGCTTATAATTGAGCTTTACTATGTTGCTAATAGGAGCGGCGATCTTAACCCCTAAGTATGTTATAGATGTTGTTCGCCAGTCGAGTTCAAAGGAGTTCTTAAGGGTGGTTACATTTGGCCCTGGTAGGTTTATCGGTAGGGCTTGTGTTTTTTCCTTATTCAGACGGTAGTATGATATTCTACCATAGTCTGTCAATAGAGTTAGCAGAGGGGGCAGCGATTGTTCTGGATTTGAAAGTGCCACGAAAATATCGTCCGCAAACATCACCAGACAATAGTCCTTGTGGTTATGGCCTGGTGTCGTCTTATCTTCCAAGCCAAGGGTTCCAGGGAGAGTATGTATAGCAGGGGGGATAGTGGACAACCCTGGCGTGTCCCATTCGTAATGTGAAAAGTTTGTGACAGGAAGCCTCCATGGGAGACCCTAGCACTGGGTCGTGCGTACAGAGCCAAGATTCCCCTGATAACCTCTTCGGGGAACTGATACTTGCACAGCACTTGTGTCATATATTGCCAGTTAAGTCTGTCGAAGGCCTTTTCGGCGTCCAGCGCCAGGAAAAGACCTCCGATTTTTTCCCTCTCCATTCCCGCTATTATGTTTAGCACTTTCCTCGAGTTATCAGAGCCTTGTCGGCCCCTCACGAATCCGGACTGGTCATTGTGTACTAATTTATGTAGCAACGGTGCCAATCTTTCGCTGAATAGTTTTGCGTAGATTTTGGCATCGCTATTTAACAATGAAATGGGCCTGAAGTTTTTACATTGATCTGTATTTTTGCCCGGTTTGGGAAGTGTGGAGACATGTGCCATTGTGACCTCTTCTGGCAATGCCCCTTCTGTCATGCAGTGGTTAAATAGAGCGCCAAGAGGTTGCGCTAGGGTGTTAAGGAAGGTGCGGTAATATTTATTGGGCAGGCCATCAGGTCCCGGTGCTTTGTGTAGTGGGAGCGTGGAGATCACCGAGGTGATCTCCTTGGTCGTGAAGGGTTTGTTAAGCTGTTCCGCCTCCATCTGAGATAGGGTAGGAAGGTCGATTCCTGCCAGGAGAGCGTCAATATCTGCTTTAGAGGGGCAGACTGTCTGTGGGTCATCTTTTAGATTATATAGTTTTTCATAATAATGGGCAAATTCGTCCACTATCTCCTGTGGGTTTAGAATTGTGGTGCCCTTGGAACCCTTGATGGAGGCAATTTTGGAGTTAGCCGTCCTCTGTTTCAATTGGGCAGCCAGCCGCGCTCCCGCTTTGTTGCCTGTAGCAAAAAAGCTGTGTTTAAACCTGCGCATGAGGAATGTGGTTTTGGCCAGTTCCAAATCTCTCAGCTGCGATTGTAAGAGCAATAATTTAGTATGTGTGGCTGCTGTAGGGGTGTGTTTGTTGGTGTGAGTTAGGGAGGTTAATTCAGAAAGTATGGCTGTGTAAGATTCTAGTCGCTTTTTTTTTGCGTAGCTGGCCTGCTTGATGAAGCAGCCTCTTATGAAAGCTTTGTGCGCCATCCATATTTGGGGTAGAGGTGAGTCTGGGGTTTTGTTTTCTTTAAAATAAAACTGTAGATCTTGTTCTATTTGGTTAACTATGGCAGGGTCGGAGAGTAATTGTTCATTGAGTCTCCAACTGCTTCTTCCTTAGTTGGGGAATTGTTCCCTAAGTTGTAGTGTGATAGGGGCATGGTCTGACCATGTGATAAGGCCTATGTCTGTGCGCTCAACCTTTATGATGGAGGAGGTGCGGATCAAAAACCTATCTATTCTCGAATAAGTGTTATGCGCTGCTGTGTGGCATGTGTAGTCCCTCTCTGTGGGATGGGTAACTCGCCACGGGTCTACAAGGTTGTGCAGTGTTAGTTTGTTGCATATTAGTGTGGCTAGTTTGGACCTGCTCTTTAGTGTTTGTGCGGTCAATTGGGGACCTCCTGATGAGTCTAGGTTACTGTCTAGTAAGAAATTCGTGTCACCCCCAATGATCACTTCCCCAAGTGCGTGAGCAGACATCAAACCAAGCAGTACATCAACAAAGTTACATTGGTTAACATTAGGTCCATATACATTAATTAAGGTATAGACATTATTATTTAGGGAGCATTGCAATATAAGGTACCTTCCCTTTTTATCTCCTATTTTGTGTATTAAGGAGAAAGCTACATCTCTGCCAATAAGGATGGACACTCCTCTTTTTTTTTTGGAATAACATGAGTGGAAATCTATGGGATACTGTGGGGAATTAAACTTCGGTCTGTTACCCCATTGGAAGTGCGTTTCTTGGAAGAGCATTACGTGGGCACCTAATGATTTTGCTTCGCACAGTGCTAGGCGGCGCTTGTGGGGGGAATTCAGCCCTTTAGTATTTAGGGAGCATATTTTAATTACCATCTGACATATGGTGTAGTCTGTGGCTACTCGGGGATAGACAGGGTGCCCTTCCAACATTAGGTTCCCCAATGGGAGGTAATTGTATAGCTAACATGGTGGTGCCAGATGGTGATAAGGATGCGGGACATACCGTCTGTGGGGTTTGCCTTATAAAAATAAAAAGGGTTAAAACAATATAATAACTGAACCAATAATCAACTATGTACAATGTTCCGTTCACTGCGCCTCTGCGGTGCAGTGTCAAACCTAACGGATTCTCTTGTGGCTCTGAGTCGGTAGCCAGGTTGGGGGTGGTTATTGAAATCAGTTGCAAGGATTTAACAGCAAAAATTATCATAGCAATTCTGGGTGGCCTTAGTGACGCCCTCCCTGGGTGTAGGTAGGCTTCTAGCCCGGCATGGTAATTTGCAAGAAAGGAGCATGTACTAATATAGTCTTTGTATACGACCTGTCCCGTGTGAGCACCGTGTGGTCAGCACACGATTGGGAGTTCTGATCACGCTAGACTTGTCTTTGTGTAGTCTTGGGACGTGGTTGTTTCTTCCATTCATTGTGGAGTTTGATTGCAGATCTATCCTCCGTAGCTAGCAAGGGGTCATTTGGTATCGGGATGTTCCACTCCAACAGTTGTCTTTTGCCGGATTCAGGATCAAGAATCAGGTTGTCTACGCCGTTGCGTTTTACTAGTAACTTGGTCGGGAAGCCCCATTTATACTGTACATCCGCCGCTCTCAATGCCGCTGTGATGTGGGTAAACGAGCGCCTTTTTATCATGGTCGCAGTGGAGAGGTCAATGAATAGCTTGATTTGGGAAAATTGACCTGGGAGCTGACCTTGGCGTCTAGACGCTTGCATTATTCGATCTTTCGTTGTGAAATAGTGTATTCGCGTTATGACGTCTCTCGGTACTGTAGTCGGTAAGTGCTTGGGTTTTGGGAGGCGGTGTGTGCGGTCAAGCAGCAACTCAGTTTCCTTCAATGCTGGAACGTATGCTGTAAATATTTCTTGTACATATTGGGTCAGATCTAGGGAGCCGACTGACTCCGGTATTCCCCGGATTCTAATATTGTTGCGGCGGTCCCGGTCTTCGTGATCTGCCACTTTTGCTTCCAGGCTTTGTACTCTCTGCATTAGGTCGTTGTGTGCCTCTGATAGGCTATTATGGGCCTCTATAGTTTCCTCTGCTCTCTCTTCCAGACGTGCTGTTCTTTCACCTAAAGCTTGAATATCAGCCCTGATATCTGTAGCAATTTGTTTCAGGTCTGTTTTGAAAGTGTGTTTTAATTCAGATAGCATGTTCTGCAGTGAAGCGTTTGTGGCTGGTGCTTGCATGTCATCTGCAGTGAGGGTAAACTCACCTCCTTCTGAGCATGAGGCTGGGGACTGGGGCTGGTCGGCGCCATTTTGTTCCTCCTCTCCGCACTTCGGCGACGCTATCACCTGCATTTGGAGGGTCTTTTGTTTGAATTTTTTGGCGGTCTTTGTGGACATTATGTGGTGGAGGTATGCCCACTTGTTTGCCACTCTTGCCGGTGCTTGTACGCTGTGTAGTCACGCTGTAGACACCCGTCGGCGGGAGAGCTCCGAGATCAGATGATCGCTCTCATTCGCCGCTAAGCCACGCCCCCTGATTTAATTTTTTTATCTTACATCCATATTTTTATTTCTCTTTTTTTTTTATAGTAGTTAGGATTTTTTTCTTGGGACATTTTATGTTGATTTATTTTTCAGTGGTAGAGTATAATTTTTGAAGATTACATAGATCCTTTGTACTTTACTGTACTTATAATGCATACGCTCCTTTATAAAGCAAATTTATTTGCTGTATATTGTGTATAGGTATATTATATGGGTCTAGTATACCTTTCATTACCTTTAATTATACCCACCACTATGATGTACATACTCTTTTTATGTTTTCTCATGTTCCTTTTTTTCATCTATTTTAGTTCACTGGGGTATGATAATATATGAAAGCTGCTTAATTATATCCTGTTTTTCTATTCATTTCTCCATATAGAGCTATCGATTAATCTTTACTGGATTAAGGTGTCATTTATCATCCTAATACTATACTATATTACATTGCACTTTATCTGTATTTATACTTTCTTCATTTCACTGTATTCACGTATTCTTTGTTGTTATTTGACGGTTACTATAGCAACCCGTATAAGTGAAGTGGCTGTGATGATGTCATCACACCACGTACTACACTTCCGGGTATGCACAAATGGTTTTGGAGAACGCCGATCAATTAGCTGGAATCATCTGCGGTGAGTTTCTTTTTCTTCTTGGGGTATATATTCTTGCAGATTATGTTGTTCACATTGTTACTGTTTGTTGATCCTGAGGAAAACCCCGGTCGTGGGCTGAAACGTTGATTTTAAGATTTTTCAATAAAGTACCATTTTACTTCAAGACCGTGAGTGCTAGCCAATATTTACACTTTGTGTATATATATATATATATATATATATATATATATATATATACACAAAGTGTAAATATTGGCTAGCACTCACGGTATAAATATAATATCTAATTTTATACATATATATATATATATATATATATATACACATATATATATATGTATAAAATTAGATATTATATTTATATATACATTTGTATATTTGTATATTATGTGTATATTTATAAATACATATTTACATATAATAATATATGGTAAGTTACCTACTGAGAAAGTAAATGCAAAAAAAAAGTAAATTAAAACTAGAGAATAATAGCACAATTATTGACTGAAATAATTGTGTATTGTGCCGTACAGTTCTCATCCTATATGATAATCAGACACATTACATTTATTAACTGCAATAAATGCACCTGTAATTTAAGCACATCTGACATGGGTATTTTACATTCAAGCACACAATATAACTAACCTTGCATACTAGAAAAATGGTTATGACAGCAAGTGAATCCTATATTGAGATCTTGGACATACATATGATAAAGATGCCACAACTCATTTTTTTGCCTCCAGGTATTTCAGTTAAAACACTCACAATGTATATCTATATAGAGGGAAAGGAAGGTAACATTTTAACCAGTATAACAGTTATGAAAATGTTATTTGTGTAATAAAAAAAGTCATAAGAACTGCTGGAAATAAACAGAATATTTTAAATTGAATGGCAAAATAACTGATTTGGAAACAGTCTGAAAGTCGGCTTTGCTTTTAGTCCACTACTTTGCCCTAAATTTAAAATTCACATTGAATACACTTTGAATTCCTGACATGATTCATTTCTGACAATAATTTTGTTACTGTATATACTCGAGTATAAGCCAACCTGAATATAAACAGAGGCACCTAATTTTAACACAAAAAAATTGTAAAACGTATTGACTTGAGTATAAGCCTAGGGTGGGAAATGCAGCAGCTACTGGTAAATTTCAAAAGTAAAAATAGAAAATATTAACTTTGATTGTTCTGAGGTCCCTATTAACCCTGAAATGCCCGAGCTAAAATCAATAAATTGGTACAGCTGTGCTAATATAAGCCTTGGGGAGTTCAGCATGCTACATCATATGTCACTGACCACACTGGTAGATTACAAGGAGTTGGAACTTAAGTCATTTTGGACTACATGTCTAACCATGTCCAGGATGTGGATACAATCCTTATTTGATGCTTGTAGTTCACAAACCTTTGTACAATACAGCTGTATCTGACTGGGGTTCTCCTGCTGTTAAAGATGTTAAAGACTGCATGTCACAGGATGCTCAGCATCACCAAACTTGTCTTTTTTTTATAATGAAAAGTGACAGTGTGATTGGGAAGCCAGATTAGGACTCACCCACAGTAGCTACAGCATCAAAGACCTGCAACTTGTACTCAGACTGCAGTTCCAGGCAGGTGGGTGAGTTGTGGCCACATACTAGTAGCCCAAGGCAACCCAAGCTAGGGCTGGCGATTCCTCCATCGCAGCTCCCTTTGCCAGCACTCCTGGAGTCAGAATTCTATACCCACATCACTTCCTGTGACGCGGCCACACCGGACATGATGTTTCCCAGCTGGAGGTGGTGGTGTGTCGCGCCGCGCAGGCGCAGAAGTACAGGTAGGGGAAATTTACAGCCAGCATACAGGGAGAAGATGCCACCTACTGCGCTTGCGCAAAACAGGCCAGCTGGACACCGAGAACACCGGTGAAACTCACTCACTCGAGTATAACCGAGGGGGGCTTTTTCAGCATAAAAAATGTGCTGAAAAAGTTGGCTTATACCCGAGTATATATGGTAAGTTTCCCTTTAATTCTAGCCTCCATGATTGGGGTAGATGGAACACATGTAGTGCATCTAAATAGATATTTGTTCAACTCGTTTTACCCAAAGTAAAAAAAATAATGTTATTGTTAAAAACAATATTATGAATTTGAAAATAAATAATGATATCTAATTTTAATTATGTTGAAAGGTCACATTGTGTTTGCATTAAAAATGTATTAACATTTAATTAAAATTAATTTTCAAATTTAAAGGAAAACTTCTTGACATCGCTGTCCCTGCCAGTCTTTGTCAATCCAATGCTTTCCCATAGGAAAGCATCGGGAGGCTATTGTGCATGTGTGGCAAAATGCAGTAATGGGCAATCAGCATCTCCTCATAGAGGTGCATTGGATAAATGTATCTAAGAGGAGAACACTCAGAGTTGTGGAGATGCTGAATGTCACTGTGCAGTACTGGACTAGGAATTACATTCGCTAGAGGTGTTATTAGGCACCAATGTAAATGCTGCATTATCTCTGAAAAGGCAGTGTTAACATTGAAAAACATGCAGTGATTAACTATAGACACCAGAACCACTGCAGTGGGCTGTAGTGATTCTGGTGACTGTAGTGTCCCTTTAAGGTCAAATTAAGCAAACTGAAAACATTCTCTAAGTTAACTATGCTTTCAGTTCAACTTCTCCTGGCTTTAAATTTACAATTCACATTGAATAACCCTGAAAGTGTAGAACTAGTTCATTTAAATTTACTGTATAATGTGTGAATGAATATGAATACTTTTGTTTACTTCTAATGTTTAGCAGGAACAAATACTTTGTTGTAAGGCTAAAGGCTTTAATGTGGCAGGCATAATGCATTACAAACTTTAATAAAGATTTAAGACTAGTCACCACATCCAGATAAGACTTTATTACAAGGCACTTTGCTGAAATCATGGAGCCAGAGTTAAGTTGTTTCCAATAAAGCGTAAGTAGTTAGTCAAGGTCCTTGGCACGTTAATTCATTTAACATTCTTACATCTTGACTGATTTTGTTTCCACACAGTAACTTCACTTGGCAATCAGGAAAAAAATGCTTTATTTGAGCATCTGCAGTTCACATTGCAATTGGCTTTGAATGTAATGTATTGGTTTGTTATGACTCACATACATATATAGGTAACTGCTCACTAAATAGTATGTTGGGCTAACTTGAAAAGTTTAGAACAAAATAGATGACTTGAAAAAACATTTTCTCAATGCTGTGTAAACAGAGTTTTTTTTTTCCCTTTTTTTTTTTTTACTTTCTCTTCGTGTGGATATATTATTAGAGACATGAGACATGTGAACATCAACAATGCAGGAATTATATATATCAAAATAGTGGAAAGTGCCCTCATTTGGGATATGGAAAACTGGATGGATAGACCCATTGGATGGGACCCCACCTCGTGGATGGGACCGATTCATTCAGTTAAAATGAATATTCTCCCGAGGATTATATTCCTTTTCCATGCCCTCCTTCTACCTCTCTCAAAGACAGACCTCGCTCACCTCCAAAAAGCAATAGGCAACTTTATTTGGCAAAACAGAAGGCACCAGGTGGCGAGTCACATACTATACCGCCCGAAACGGATGGGGGCCTAGGTCTACCCAACCTATATTACTACTACCTGATGGCCCAGCTCACACAAATAGCAATGTGTCATTCCCCAATGGGGATGAGGAAGTCAGTGGAATTGGAGTATCTCCCTATGGGAGCAGATTTCCCACAATACATAATCTGGGTGCCAAAGGACCTTAGACCCCTACTGCAGACTGACAGCCCAGCCATCACCAAATCCATGCACATATGGGACAGAACGGCTCAGAAATATCAACTCTCCTCCTCTCCGTCTCCTCTCATGCCCTTCTTGAGAAACAGGGCATTTGCCCCAGGACTGACAGCACGTAACTTTAAATGAATAGAACAGACGGGCCTACAGAGAATATGCCAACTCTACATCGACTGCTCGCTTATACCCTTTGACATCTTCCAGCATGGACACCACCTCACCCCGGCTGACTTCTACAGATACCTCTAGATCGCTGACTATGCCAGACAACCACACATAAAAACAGCCGCACTCACGACCCTCACTTCCTTTGAAAACATACGTCTCAAAGAACAACCCCCAAAGGGCCTCATTACACAGCTACATGCTCACTTATGCCCTGAAACTACAGAATGGGGTAGCCTAACATACACCGCCCACTGGAAGAGGGACCTAGGGAAGTGGTGGAGTGGCAGGAAATTTGGGAGACGAGTGCCACGTCCTCCATATGCGTCTCCATGCAGGAGCAGTCCTTCAAAACCCTATTCTGATGGTACACCACCCCGTTACAACTGTATCGCATGCAAAAGACACCATCGGACCTTTGCTGGAGGAACTGTGGCATGAGAGGCACTTATGTACATATGTGGTGGGAGTGCCCCAAGATCAGAACTTTCTGGGAAGATATTAGAGACATACTAGAACAGGTATTTCAGAGAGCACCTTCCCTCGACCCCTGGGTGTATCTCTTAAACAGATCGCTAGAAGACTGGCCTAGACATGACCAAAAACTGTTCCAAAAATTGCATTAGCCACCCCTAGGGCTATAGCACAACATTGGCTGAAAACACAGCTCCCCCCTAGGTCAATGGTGACTGGGAAGATAAAGGATAGTTATCTCATGGACGACCTCACAGCTAGGATACGGGGCACCCACAAGAAATTTGAGAGGACTTGGGGACTATGGAGGGAATGCCATCTGGCAGACTGACAAGACGGACGTGATGTAGATGCTGGAGCCCCGGGCCGACCGACCCATCGCCCAGGGCTGAACACAGTGATATGGAGGCTCGATGTTGTCCCTCCCATCCCCCCCTTTCCTCCTTCCCCTCCGGCCTCTCCTCCTCCTTCCCTTCCCTGCCCCCCCGAAGCTCGACCTACCCCCTTCTACGTCTTCTTCTCGTACATTTCCTATTCTTTACCTCTTTTCCTCTATCTCACTCTTCCTCCAGTCCTATCTATCTGAATGAGTGCTTAAATAAGTTCACATTCACATTTACCAGAGCTAACTAAGAGCTCAGATGTTGTTACGCGTGGACGAAACAATCCCTGTCTCAGGATATATATGGAACAATAGGCATCTTGGCGGTCTCAGGCAGATGGTTTGTGGAGAGACATAGAGAATCCAAATAGTGCAATATCTACTGATAAAATAAAAAGAAAATATAAAAAGATGTACTCACATTTGCTAGAGACTTGCTCTAGTCA